AGAATAGAAAAGTAAGAACTGGAGTAAATCACGAAATACTGCAACCTGCCAATAGAAATAGCATGACTGTGATTTAAAAAAACAACCAAATATAATACTAATAGTCAAGATGTCTTGGATGCAATTCCAAAACATCTGAAGCACCACTTGAACACCATCTGCATTGACAAAATCACCATCAGGCAATTGCAAAAGGCAGTTACTTGGAGCAGCTCACATCCTGCGATGATACTTTCAATATTATTAAACAACATCTGCCAATCCAAGGTCCTTGGAAAGAACTTGATAGGTAGAGAAAAATGCTGAAGCCAGTCAAAACATCTGGCTCATTGCGTGACCAACATAAGTTTACATTTTCACTTATTCTGCAAGGAGGATTTTCTTGAATTAAAAAAGTTGTTTACTACAAGCAATAAGACAAAATAAGTCTTGCTTTCTATACATAAAAAGACAGGTAGCTTTTTATATATCTTATATTTGAGAAGACTGTTGTCAAACTGTAAAATTCAATTGTATTTTAAAAACTGTCTGTTACTAAAGAAAATATGGATACTATATGGATGGATGGATATTATATGGATATTATAAATATACACATTGTATATATGCATATAACAGGGACTTGTTGAATTGTCACTTTCTAGAAGCATCTAGTATATCACAATGGTTCAGTCATAGTGTGGTTTGGTTTTGACTCTGTGTGGATCACCCTAGTTTGTAAATCATGAGTTTTGCTTCTTGTGCAAATTCAATCAATTGTAGTTTATTCAAACCACAGGTGAATGTGACATATGAACCTGGTAAATCTTTGATGAAATTTTACATTCTCACTTCATAAAATTCATTAGTGTAGAAAGAAATACAAAGTCTCGTAATATAATAAGATGGCTTTATAAGTAAGAAAACAAAGTAGAATAAATCTTGTTTTGTAGCACTTATAATTTTTTTCATAATGCAGGCCCAATTTTGCCAACCAACAAACAGATGCTTAGGCAATTAGATTGGGATGCCATGAAAAATAAACAAATTATTATACATTTAATATATTACCATGATTTGATTAACAAGGGTTGGGTTTTCATATCCTAACTGCCAAGATAACTTAACATGGACCAACATGTTCGTTTATCCCAGAAAGAAAAATACATATTTTGCTGATTTTAAAGGAGTTCTACAGTAGTGCTGTTGATTTAATTTTATTGTGTAATCAAGATAGTTTTTAAAGTAGAATTTAAATCAACTAATGCTAAGAAATCCCTTTAAGATATTCCTTATGTGTCTTTCTGATGATATCAATTTGACAGCAAATTGTCAGCTAAGCCAAGATGAAATATATGAAGTAGATAACATGTTCTCTCTGTTTAGTTTAGTATGGGAAGGAATGTTTTTCCCCCAATAGGCTCCTTTTTTCTCTGTTAGCTTTTCAACTCAAGTGGAAGAATCACAGAAATTTTCTGTGCTAAAATCTTAAAAAACATAAGGTTAAAACTAGTAAGAATACAAGAAATCTTAAAGGTTCAAGGTCAACTTGAGTATCTCAGACCCTAATTGGCTTCATTAGCCAGAAGGAATGGGTTGAAATAGGTCAATCTGTTTCCATCCATGTCATTTCCACATGTGTTTACTGATGATTTTTTAGATTTTTCCTCATTAATCTGATATCAGTCTACATTTTTAGCATATAAGAATGCATAGTTTTCTTTCACATGTATTGATATGTACATCCATCCCCACAATATATGATTAAATGATGCACTGAAACTATGGAGAATCATGTTATGATATTCAGAGAAATGGAAAATATGATGTGGACTGACATTTCAATCTTGCTCTCTTTCTGGGGGTACGGGGAAGGTAATTTCATATGGTAGTTTGCCAAAATTGAATTCTTAGAGCATCCTGAATTTTGGATATTTGATAGCCATGAAATGCATTACTACATGAAAACTTCTCAAACACGTCTTCATGTACATTGATTCTTGTACAATTAAAAGAATAAGAAGAGTAAGAACAAAGACAAAAAAAGTCTGGATAGTGGGTGTGCCAGTACCTGGAGACAGCAGTATAGAAGTAAAAGAACTAGAGAAGATAACAAAATACGAAGACCTGCAAATAGAAATAGAACGATTATGGAAAATATGGCAGACTATGGCAAAAGAAAGCAAAGGAAGTACCAATAGTCATAGGTGCTTTGGGTACAGTCCCAAGATAACTGGGGCATCATTTGATCACCGCTGGCATTGACAAGTTTACCATCAGTCAATTGCAAAAGGCAGTTTTACTTGAAACAGCTTACATCCTGCCTATCCCAGGTCCTTGGAACAACTTACATCCAGGGAAGGACTTGATAGGTGGACAAAAATGCTAAATCCAGTCTGAATATCTGGCTGATCGTGTGACGAACTAATAAAAGATCACATAGTGCTCATATGAGAAGATTCTTCAGATGAATAAAGAGGCAATCCAAAGTAGCACTCAGATTCCAACTTTTTCTCCCAGCTATCTTTTCAGAGAGGCAGACTGGAGCAGTGGATAAAGCACAGGATTAGGAGCAAGGAAAGCTGAGTTCTAATACTTTTAGCATGAAAGCCGCCTGGGTGGTTCTGGGGCTCAACCCTAGGAAGAAAGCAATGGCAAACCACTTATTGAAATATTGACAAGGAAACTGTGTGGGCTTGCCCATGGAATCACTGGAAACACAAAATATGGAAGCACAAAATAATAATACAAAAATCTTCTAATTTTTGCCTTTCTGAGCATTCCTATCAAATGTAAGAACTAGAATGGCACAGATTAATGCCTTCCATGCTTAGGTGTAGGTGTGCCTTAGAATCCCGACTGACTCCTTGAGACTGCTTGGACAAATCCTTGCAGGTTTTGGGGCAACATTTTCACAAGTGGCTTGTTGTTGCCCACTTCCTAGGGCAGAAAGCATGACTGGCACAACAAGCTTTCTGCCCAGTTTCTAGCCTAGTACCTTAACCACTGGCTCTGCACATTTCATCTTTACAATAAAAGAAAAAAAATGCTTGAAGGAAGAGAAAAAGAGAAGGCATCATCTTTATCCAACATACATAACCTTTCTCCCCACTCCTTTTCCAGGAAATTGCAGGAGGAAGAGCTAGGTCATGACTGATTGCAAAATATATCTTAAAGCTGTTAAGAGAAGCAGAATGGATCCAGTCCAGTCTGGATCCAGATTTTTAAAACAGAAAGGAGCTTCCATTTCTCTTCACCACTATCATTAAGGACAGTAAGTAGCAATTCCAGAGCAAGTTTGCAAATGCTGAGTAGAATTACAGCTTTGCTATCCTTTAAACCCCAGATAAAAGTAGTCACACTAGTTCAATTATCACTCTGACAACTCTGTGCCTTCCTTTCTTTAGTATGTTAAAAAAAAAAAGATTATTCTTAGCCTCAGCTGCCAAGAAAGTGAATTTGTCAGTTGGCTGCTGGTTTTATTAAACAAACTAAACCTTGTTTTTTCTTTGTGTCCTATTATTGAGACAGTTCTATCAGTTTTCCAGGGGCGAAAACTTTCTCAAAACAAACACAACCCATAGGTAGGCAAAGAGTGGCATGCTTCCCAGAACTGTACTTTCAGCTGGAAAACAAAAATAGTGTAATTATATGTTTTGATTTTTAAAAGATACAACTAATTGAAGTGCCTCCTACTGACTTTCTATGATTTTTTTTCTTTTACAGAAATAGGGAACTGAGTGAATAAAATCCAATGCTCTGTGAAGCTAGATTTAAATACAGCAGGGGTTTGTTTGGGATAAACTGTTTTTGCTCCATTTTTGTTTATATTCTGCATTCTTTCTCCAATCATTCAACTTTCAAGTGACTATTATTTCACAGGCAGCAAACTGGTTTTAGAAAAACAGGAAGATGGCGAACAAGGCAGATGCATAGTCACACTGCTGGGAGCCCGAAGGAGAGAAAAGTACCAGTAACTACATTCAGAGAGAGGAGTAGAAGTAACAAAAGTAACATAAATACATAGATTAGGTCCTAGGGATCTACAAAGTAGCAGTGTAAAGATTCGGACAAAGGCAGCCAGCTGATCTGGAGTGAGGGGCTCCCGCCAGGGTCCAGGAATCCCATCTTGAGCAGCTTCCCTTTGTTGGGTAAGGTGATCGAATGATCCGCTAGGATCTAGACAAAAAAAGTCACAAATTTTTCAGCTGCCTGGAGAGGAAAAAGCTGCATAGTGAAAAGAAACTACTTGGTCTAAAGAATCTGCCTGGTCTTGGGAGAGGGAAGCCGACACGGGGAATGAACGAGCTGTGGGTTTGCGGCAACTGCCAGCAAAGACTGCAAGCTTAGAAGCGACCCACCTGTGGGTGAGTGTCTGCCCGGCTCCTTATAGATCAGCGGTGCATTTTTCAGTGGGAGGAAGGAGCAGGTAAACGGCTCGAAGATTTACTGTGGACCCAAGTCAGAAACAAGTTAAAAAGCGAACACTCCAGAGCGGAAGGGGTGAGTGTGGAGATTAAGTGGCAGCGGCTTAATTTATGTTTTTACCCTCTAACTCTGAAAGTTAAATGGCAGCTTGAGAAAAGATTGATTAAAGGAAGGAAAAAAGGGGGAACTAGACGAGAAGAAGAGGTGTGAAGAAAGTTTTTATTCAGGAAAACTGCCTTTTGAAACTGAGATTGATTGTGAATTCCAATGATGGAAGAACTGGAATGATGTCTACAGTCTCCATTTAAATCAAATCACGAAAAATAATTTTAAACGGCCACCAGTTGGGGAGAACAAAGGAGACTCATGGAGAATTGATAGTCTCCATATAAATCACCCAGCTGATTAGTCAGCCTGAATTTAAATTCCCACTCAGCTGATTGGACAACCTCCACTAAACCCCCACCCAAATCTCATCTTTTCCAACTGGTGAGCTCATTCAAATCTTCTCCATTCAAATCTATCAAACAGCAACGCTTCCTCTTTAAAACAAAAACAAAAGAAAAACCAAAAAATGTGGCTTTAAGGAAAAACAAAGGAACTTTACACAACAAACCTCCAATACTTTACTACCTCCACTATTTCAGTACCTCAAGACCAAATATTTATAGATAATGCTTTGTGCCCCTAACTACCTCAATAATTGATTTATCATATAATAGTATAATAATTAATTGTTAAATGACCACTAATTTACTGATTCATTGAACTGATAGAGATTTAATACTGTATCATTGATTATCTGGTCTATTGATTGATTGATTGATTCTTAGTAATAAGTTGATTGATTGACTTTTAGTAATGTAACCTTACTTTTGATTTGTTTTCTAACTTATCAATTACCGTTTGTGAATTACCAACATTCATTAAGTAACTCTCTACCTATTACATTAATTAGCTATTGTAATTGTTTAGTGTACTATTGTCATTGACCATGCCAGCCAGAAACTCCAGAAACTCCAAATCCTCCACTACCAAACAACAAAAAATAATATCTCTACCAATGACTTCCCAGACTCCTATACATGCTTCAGATATCTTAAAACCATTAATGAAAGCGAAAATAACATCAAATGCTACCTATGTGACAATCAAGCCCACCTTGCCTGCTTAAACTTAAACAAAGACCTAGCTGATCTCCTAAAAGCATCAGATACATTCCCTTGTCTATGTCCATCATGTTTTCCTAAGCTAAACAAACCAAGAACCCTGCCTGACAGAGTTGATAGCATAGAATCACTCATGCACTCAATAGAAAAACACTTAGCAACACGTTTTGAAACAATTATACAAGAAAGCCTAATTTCTCTTGGAAAAAAAATACAGCACTGATAAGCGACTACCTATCAGCTCAAAATCAAATCCCAACCCAACAACCACTACCACAACTACTACTTCAACTACAATCACAACTACAACCAAAAGTAACCACCAAACCACAACCACAAATAATTACTATCTCATCAAGTAATTCCACAAATGATATCTCCTTACTCATCAGAGGCACCGTTGAACGTGATCAGAAACATCCAAATACCGTCTTATTTGGTCTCGAAGACACCAACGAATCAGATGACATCACCAAAGTTCGTAATATCATAAGCAACCCAAATACAACAAACATCTCTCCTGAAGATATCACTGAAATAACCAGAGATGCCCTTGAGTCCAAATACAATGATGGCTCGGTGGCCCCAAAATTTTGTAGAGTTGTTTGTAAAAATGAGTCCAGCAAACCATATTCATTCATACAATAAACGCCATTGTAAAAACCAATCCCAACCACAAAAAACTTTGCTCAAGACCAGACTTATCCATTCTGCAAAGAATCCACTCCCATGAACTCCGCAATGAACTCAAAAGACGTCTAGATAATGGAGAGAAGGATCTCTACATTGACTACCGCGCTGATTGTATCAAAAGTAAGTCACACAATTATTAACCAATCCATCACCCTCCACTTAGAGACAAACAACCTACTCTCTAATAAACAATTTGGTTTCAGAAAAAAACTATCATGTAATCTGCAACTCTTACACTGCAAAAACATATGGACTACACAACTCGATCAGGGCAAATCAATAGATGCAATCTACATAGACTTCTGTAAAGCCTTTGATTCAGTGGTACACAACAAACTACTCCTAAAACTAAAATTTTATGGTGTCTCTGGACACCTGCATAACTGGATAGAAGCATTCCTGTCAAACAGACAACAAATGGTCAAAATTGGGAGTGTCCTATCAAATTCTGTATCTGTCAACAGTGGTGTCCCCTAAGGCAGTGCTCTAGGACCAACTCTCTTCATACTCTACATAAATGACCTCTGTGATCATATTAAGAGCAACTGCGTTCTCCTCGCTGACGATGTAAAGCTATTCAACATCACACACAATACTGCTACCCTTCAAAAAGACCTCGACTATGTATCAGAATGGTCAAACAAATGGCAACTTCAAATCTCAACAAATAAATGCTCTGTCTTACATATTGGCAAAAAAAATCAGAAAATAAAATACAGGATGAATAGTCAAGACTTTGTTGATGATCCAAACTGTCAAGGATCTTGGAGTACTCATCTCTAATGATCTAAGTGCTAGAGCCCGCTGTAACTACAGACCCAAAAAGGCATTAAGAGTTGATAATTTAATCCTATGTAGCTTCTTCTCTGGTAATATTACACTACTAACTAAAGCATACAAACATGTGCTAGACCAATACTCAAATACAGCTCATCAGTCTGGAACCCACATTACGTATCTGATATTAACACAGTTGAGAAAGTCCAGAAATATTTCACAAGAAGAGTTCTCCGCTCCTCTACTCATTGTAGAATACCTTATGCCACCAGACTTGAAATTCTAGACCTAGAAAACCTAGAACTACGCCACCTTTGGTCCGATCTAAGTATAGTATATAAAATCATACATTGCAATGTCCTACCTGTCAATGAATACTTCAGCTTCAACCATAACAGCACTATAATAAACAATAGATACAAACTCAAGGTTAATCGTACCAAACTTGATTGCAGGAAATACGACTTTAGCAACAGAGTGGTCAATGTCTGGAATACTCTACCTGACTCTGTGGTTTCTTCTCCAAACCCCAAAAACTTTAACCTTAGACTTTCTACTATTGACCTCACCCCTTTCATAAGAGGTCTGTAGAGGGCGTGCATAAGCGCACCAATGTGCCTACAGTCCCTGTCCTATTGTTTCTTTTATTTTTCTTATATGTATCCATGTATTCGTAACTATGTTTTTACTTATACCTATTATCTTGTAAGCAATTGACAAACCAAATAAAATGAAATAAATAATAAATAAATAAATAAATAAAGTTCTTTTCTACCCTGAAGTAGGGTGGAGAGCACCTAATTGGAGAATTGCACATCAATTGGTCTGCCTTTTATTAATTTGCTCAGGCATTTCTGTTTCTCCCAAACGAGACAGATAGAGCCTTCAATGGATAATTAGAACTGGGGGGAAAAATTGCTACCAGCCTGCCTTCCATTGGGGACCTGTATACTGCACAAGCCAGAAAGTGAGCTGTGAAAATATCTGTTGAAGTATTCGCCGTTAGGAGAATGAGTGCACTCAGCCAATCACACTTACAGCATTCTCTTAAAGATAGGTATTAAACTACTATCCTGGTTTATATATTGCCAACCCAACTGTTAGATGACTATCATTCCTAACAATATCTACAGGCTCCACACATCCTGGACGTAAACTGTTTCAACTTCTTCGCTCAAGATAATGTTATGGAGCATTGCACACACACACACAAAAAAAAACTGGACACAAGGACAGTTTTTCCCCAATGCCATGACTCTGCTAAACAACTAATTCCCACAACACTGTTAAACTATCTAGTAAGGCTGCATTCTTCTTCTTCTTCTCATCTTTCCTATTACCTATCTCCTTATCTTCTTATGACTATAACTTAGTTGCCTGTATCTTACGATTTATATTGTTTATTTAGTATCCTAGTATGATTTATGTTGATTGCTTATTTAGTATTCTATGACTATCACTAAGTGTTGTATCTTATTATTTCTGATGAATGTATCTTATGATTAGGAACATGATTTATCACTTGTTACCTCTATGTACACTGAGAGGTTATGCACCAGAGACAAATTCCTTGTATGTCTAATCACACATGGATAAAGAATAGAATTCTATTCTATTCTATTCTATTCTATTCTATTCTATTCTATTCTAT